ATCCTATCCTATCCTATCCTATCCTATCCTATCCTATCCTATCCTATCCTATCCATATGTAAAACTAATTGATTTAGAAATGTCATGTACAATTCAAGAATTTCAGAAACATTCTCATGGCTGGAGCATAATTTTCTTGTACTTATTTGGTAATAAAATGTCTCCCACTGTCAATCCTCTGGCAGTGTGCAGTCTCCATGGCTTCCCATATCATCATTCTTTTCCTAGGGAAGATCTCAAGAGGATGAGTCTCAGTAGCTGTGCAACTTCCACCACTAAGTGGGAAGTCTTGCCCTTAGAAATCCTTGGAGAATTTCTCCTTCCCCTGCAGTTTTCTGCCTCCATATGTGGTGGTGAAGTTCAGAAGACCATTTGTGCACAGCTACTGTTTGTCCAGACTCCTATGCACCTGAATGATTCCCATGTAAAATCTAATAAAATCACCCAAAGAGGTATTCCAAAGCTTCAGATAAAATTCAGACAAAAATTCCGTTTTTTCCCCCCTTGACATGTTAAAGGTGTGCGAAATCTGGAGTTTGGCTAGCCAAGAGTTAGGGACTTCCACATCTGGCAAGGCTATATATTTTGTAAGGGATTATTATACTTTTTCTTCCAGCTGTTCTCATAGTTCATCATTCCCTTCCAGATGTGTTGAGATTGACCCGAATGGAATTCTGAGACTTGTCCAGACTCATGTGGAAAGTACCCAGTGGGGGAAGCACATCTTTATTTATTTTATTTATTTTATTTTTTGGCTTTTTCACTCCTAATGAATCCTAAAACCTTTCCTTTTAGGAGCTTCAGGATTGTGAAATGCAGATTAGAGCATTTGCATCACTAAGAAAATTAGTTTCTGAATCAGGCAATTATGGAGTCTAGCAATCTCACTTGCTTTGATGAGACTAGCGACCTTTTCTCAGATTGCTTCTGTGTATGTCAATTTCATAATGACTGTCAGGACCAATCTTGGTGTTTTCAGGACAACTCTATGAATCCTCATTGTTCTGAGATGTGCTAGAGTGGGGTTCATGCAACATGCCCGCGTTTGAGGGCTAAAAGGAAGGTCCAGCATTTCAGATGTTGGGATTCATATTCTGAGGTCCTAAATGGAGGTGGGGGTGGAGAAGTCCAGCAGGATGTCTGTCTGTACTGAGATATCAGATTCAAATAGAGATGCTTGAAGTGAAGCTGTCCAATCCCACCTTCTCATTTGCATCGGATCACATTTTCTGATGTTGAATTTAGTGTGAGTTTTAAATTTAAAAATGCGTACGTTTGCATAGCCCCAGAAAAAGAGAGAGGGAAGGAGGTCAACTTGGCACTTTGGGGAGCATTTTCCCAGCAGCTTTGCGTTGTTCAAAAGTGACCACTTTGGGGGAGAAGAAGAATGCCAGCGCTTTAGCCTAGTAGCTTGGTTGGCACTGGAAGATGCTCTTGTTTCTCAGCGCCTCCTTGAGCCTTAATAATCACATGCAATTTAATTAAGATGCAGCCTCCAATGGCTGCAAAGCTGCATCTCATCTTCAATTCCCGCCTGTCCCCTGAGTACCATCATTTTCATGGTGACAGCAGATTGAGGAGACACGCAATCCCCTTTCTTCCTCTTTCTCCACCCCTCCTCTCCCTGGTGCAACCGAGTTTAATTTGCTCCATTTATGTGTTCTCTTAGCACCTTCCTTGGAGACCTATAAAGAAAACAAATGTATTAATTGTTTAGCTTCTATGTATTTATTTAGCAAATTCGTCTGGGTAATGTGAATGCCAGTCATTTTGCCTCTCCACTATCCTTCTCCTTGTCTTTGATTTATAGTCTCCAAGCCATTCTGTGCCTTGCATGGGAAGACAAATGAGACAAAAATCCAGGAGTTTAGCAAGATGTGCTAGGCCAGTTGTGCAAATACAGATACTGGCAGGGTTTTCAACCTTGCTATCTAAGCCAGCAGGATGCCTACCTTGACTCAAAGGTCAGTTACCAGCTTAGCACACAGTGGCTTTGGATGAGGGATCGTCTCTGTGGTTTTTCTATAGGGGGTAGCAAGGAGAGGAATTTTTTCCTCCTTATCAGTAATAACAACAATTTTTCCCCTTATCAGGGATGGCAACAATCTCTAGCGTGAAATTCATTTTTTTGGCTACGCTTTAGAATAGGGCCGAAAACAATCATGAATAATTAAACCTGATTCAGGACCAGAATGATAACTAAATAAAGAAAAAGAGTTCTCCCCTGGACTGCCCCAGCTGTGTAGTAGAATCAGGACTTCATTTTCCATTTAGCAGGAAGTGGCATATGATGATGAATGCTTTATTTTGTACCCTTGAGGACTAAAAAATGGATTTTAGAAAGAAGGCACGTGAGGAAATGAAGGAAAGCTGAATGTCTCAAGATCTTACTGAAACCATTTTTTTTTTTGCTGGGGGGTGGGAAGATGTTCTATTTTATGATACAACCCCCTTCCCTTCCACCACTGAGTTCAGCTTTCTTGATATCCTTGGAACTACACTGTATTTTTCCAATCATAGGATTTGGGCCTCTTATTCTCTATGGAATTCTGAATTTTGCCTTTACTGGTCATACTCT